TCAAATCTGTTTATCTACCTGTCTGTTGGTCGCATATATCCACCATGTTTGTAGTTTTTAACACGTTTAATGCATGTTAGTAGTTCTAATTGAATCCTCGTCCACCGCACAATGTGTTATGGGCAATATTAGCAGTTAGAGTGTGCATCTTCAAATTCTAACCGGAAGTAGTAGACCATCCGGGAATCTTTGGCATACTTTTTTAAACATACTATGATTTGGGACATACTAATTATATTTTCGAATACTATTTAGGACGGATAGTATGCGAATTGGGACACAGCAGCAGTGTTTTTTTTTAGCGGAGCGCTGCTTTGTGTACTTTGATGTTTGATCTCTACCACTCCAACTGCTGGCAGAGAATCAGTTTGCATATATATGCCGCCTGGGAAACACTGGACTATGGTATAAATAAATTCAACTGTATAACAGTTTCACTGCAATTCATGTTAGAATGTTAGAATTAAATAACAATTAAAAATAATACATATGCACTTATCTGTACATAGTAAATGCAGTTATTTTTAAGCGGTTGTTGACTTCCTATCTAAAACGTGATTTAGCCAAAAAAACAACAGCAACAATAACGTTACCACTCTAATATGTCTTGCAATATCCGTGCGTGCAAAGATTCTGCGCAATCCTCTTGTTCAATATTCTCTGGGTCTGGCTCAAATTGATATGGCAATATTGACGCCATCCTTAACTAAACCGGAGCAGACAGAACTTGCTGCTTTGGCAAGGCAGTACTGCATTGGGATAGCTAACCAATCACATCACATTTTGTTTTTCAGAAGGCAGGCATTCATCAACCCCAGAACTAATCGAGCCGTTTGTGCCAGGCTGGGGAGAAAGTTACTGTAATAATGTAAATTATGTAAAAAATTATTTGTTTTTCGAACCACCAAGCATGAGAGCATGTTCTAGTACACCCCCAAAACAAATTCATTTTAAAAGAGCATAATAGGACCCCTTTAAGGTCTTTGACCCACATACAACAGAATAAATACTATAATATTGTATAAATACTCAAATATAACTGCTAACTACTACTACTACTATTGGCAACAGTGGCGGCTGGTCGGGGGAGGCACAGCTTCCCCCTAATTTTGAGGTGAAAATGGGAGGAGGAGGATTTAATGTTAATAAAATTCACATTTCCTTTCAGTTCATGTCTCATAATGTGTATTTTTTGTTTGTAATTTCACAGTTGTAATACCATAACGTGAAAGTGCCGCTTTTCTATCGCGAATGTGCCGAATCTGCTGATGTAATTACAACCGCAAAATGATAGAGAAGGGGAGGGGGAGGCCGGGGGAGAGGCGAGCTCTCGTGCCTCCATTGGTAAAACAAATTAGCCAATCACCATCGAGTGTTCACTTTCAGCGCTGAGAAGTGATGAGAAAAAAAACCTTGCAGGGGAGGCTAGCTTCCCTTCTGATATCAACCAATCATCAAAGAGACGTAACTTACATGATATTAGTTTGAACATCTGCCGCTGCGCTGATAATGTACCAAGTACTTATGATGAGTAGCGATATTGAATATTTGATCGCCAACAGATTTACCAAGCTGTCATTCAAACAGCATATATACAAATTTAGGGAAAACAGCCTTAATTAAATGGTGCAACAGCCAGCTCTCTTTTAACACAGACTTTTAAGAAGGGATGGGTGTTTGCTTCAAGTGATAGGCTGGGTACGTGAAATGATATTATCTTGCTGTATGCATGTCGTTTTCTTTACGTTTTCTGACTAAAAGCAACCAAAAAGCCATTTTAAAGTGGTTAAGCAAATAATAATAATAATAATAATCGGCAGGGATCCCAGACCAATACAATTAGTGTGCCTCCTCTATTTTAAAACCCACGAGCCGCCACTGATTGGCAATGGCAAGAAGTTTGTAATCAATAGGCAGTAGTGACTAATTGATTGCCAGTCACTATTGGAATAAATTCTATACAGCAAATCTAAAACAAGTAAAAGCATCATAAAAGTAGATACTGGTTAGTTTAAAGAGACACGTGTTAAAACTGCTTGCTGTGAGTTGAAAATGTAAGTTACTGGGGGTGGGGTAAAGAGCCACATGTGAATTTCTCAGGATCTACAAATGTACCTGTATGTGATCCTTTTTTCTGTGCCAGGTTCATCTTTCTCCCAAATCAAGGCCACTCTGTTTGGATCCTTTGCCACGTGTACATCCAAACAGTTCACTGTCAATCATTGTAAGAGGAAATTACTACGATGCTTACTGTTGACAATAAAGAAAGTTTTCTTTATGCATTTATAAAGTAGTATGTGAAAATGTTAGTAAATCAATCCCGTTAAAATACACTCGTAACCTTGTGTTCTGATGGATACAAATCTTTTATATAGCATATTGGCCAGTGGAGGTTTATCGACAATATACTAGACACTCACCTGAGACGTTCAGTTGCCCTCCAAGAAACCAGTTGATTTCCCCGCTGGAGAGATCGCAGTCTGTCACTTGAGCGAAAAGTTTGGTCCATGCCAGCCTTTCCTTGGCGATGGATCCCCAGAAAGTTTCTGGATCTCTAACTGACAGTTCATATAAATCTGCATAGGTCTTTCCAGCGAGATGCGAGCTGAGGTCCGGTTGAGCCGCGCTGATGCTGCTGCTGCTGCTGCTGGACAGAGACCTCGCGTGACACCGTGAGATCAACACAACACTTTTGCGCAAACATTTCTTGTTCCTAAAGATAACATTTCCCCTGACCAAAGAATTCAGCAAACTTATGCTCACACGTCCAGCCATTATTCCACCCAGTCTCTGGAGTGAAGTTTGCGCAAGTTTCCTCAGTCCGTGATTATTCCTCAGAAGAGAGAGAGGGAGGAGGAAACTTGTTGACAAAGCGCTCGCCTGAAGGAGGGCTCACTACAAACCGCCCCCTAAATCGGCTTCATGATGGACAAACCATGTCATGATTGAATCACAAGAACTTTGGCTTTCACAATTGATTCCAACGCTGCAAGTTTCTTTATTGATTAGGTGTTTTGGATGTTACATAAAATTGGATTGTACGGTCGTAGTGAACTTATTACACAATCATCGGAAACTTTAAAGAGTTTCAATGGTTTCAGATTAAGACGCGTAAATGTGGTTCTGTTTACATATTCTGTGTGAAAATTAATCGTTTCAAAGCAGCCTCATATGTTGCATATTATCACGTCTTTCTGTCGCATGGTAAAGTGATTAATTTATAATGAAGTTTGCATTAAACGGTTTCACCTTTCGGTTTCTAAAACTGGATCATAAATGCGACACGCTCTGGATGTTGTTCTCAACTACCCCAAACTATTGCTGCCCCCTAGTGGAGGAGGGGCAGTTCGGATAGATAGATAGATAGATAAATAGATATCTGGAACCCTCTCCTGGATCAAAACGCAGCCCATGAATTGGTAGTGTAATGCAGTGTTTCCCAACCGGGATGCCACAGGGGTGCCCTGTAAAAAATCCTTTTTTAATTTTTTTTATATATATATTTTTAATGCTAAAATGTTCAAAAAAGCATCTATTATATAATATCCATTTCTGATGTCGCCAATAATTAGAGATGCACCGAAATTTCGGCTGCCGAACATTAGTTCACCGCTCAGGATTCACTTTCAGTTGATGTGATGCTCTGCGTATTATCCGCTCTATGCGTGTGCGCTCCGCTCCTATACCGTTCATGTGAATCGGAACAGCAAAGTCCCAGGAAACATCTATGTAATACAGTATTGTTTCTGTCTGCAATAGCCCTACTGTGTTGTAACATGGTGTGGTAAACGGGCAACTCTGGTAACGCTGCCCTCTCATTCATGGATCTGCTAACCGCTATGTTATGCTAGCTTGTTCTGATAATAATAGCTTTCTAGGACTAAACATTATTTGGATTAAAAAAAAAAAAGTTAAATATCTTAACCCTACTGTTAGACCTACCTGAAAAACTAAAAAGCAATTTATTTAATTCGAAGGCCTGTCTTATTTTTTATTTGTGCTATCATTATTAATTTCTTTATTTGTTCTTATTTTATTACTGACTGCTTACTTGTCATTTTTTATTCAATTCAAAGTTTGAAATCAAGCTATCTCGTGCAACTGCACCAAAATTACCCCACTGTAAAATTAAAAAAAACACTGAGTGAGCAAAAATGTGAGAGATAGCTAGTTATAACGGTAATTAAATAATGTTTACATATGTATAAAAGCCTACATTAAAATCTGTCATATAAATAGGTATTTTCATTATAAATTAGCCTACTGATTGCCACCATTGATGGACAATTTTTTTATAATATTAAAAATATCTGTATGACATTATATTCTGCAGTTCTTCCCTGTTGTACCGAATATCTATACTTTTCAAAGGATCATGTCGAAGTTAGAAATTCAAATATTGTGACAAAGTTAATTTTGTAGGGTGCCACAAGTTTTTAAAAATTTCCAAAGGGTGCCGCGACTAAAAAAAGGTTGGGAAACACTGGTCTAATGTGCTGCCCTCTCTGTCTCTCTCTCTGTGTGTGTGGGGGGGGGGGATAAGCTGCATTGCACCATAGGCATAGACTTTAGTTCCCTACACACACCTTCAGGAAGTCTCTGTTCTTTTGGGCCTCTCAGCAGAATGTGCTGCCCTGTGGCAGAGTACTGAGAGAAAACGATGATGTGTATTTAAAGGTGTGTTATTTATTGGTTTCCCCTTTTCATCGGTAAATAATTATCATACTGTGGGTGTTTTGTTTACATTTGTTCCTAACCTAAGATAACCTTTTCTGAACTAGTTATACACTGCATTGTACTGAGGCATTGTTCATTAAAGCCAAAACAACGGCCTTCCAGCGTAACGAGAAGTTAAGGTATTTGTGATCAATTATAAAGCTACACTTTACCGTAATTTGCCGCAAAATGCCTGCCAAAAGTAACTAAGGCACTCATGGGGTTAAAATACTGTGATAGGACGTAGTGGTCGGGTTAGCCAATCAGGTTGTAGAGGTGTGGCAACTCTCGGAAGCATAGGGCGGAGCTTCGCGGCAGTGTTTGGCTGGCACGAGAGTTTTTCTGTTGGTTTATGTGAGTAACTGAAACAAATATGCAAATATTATAGTGCGGGAATTGTTGCAATATGATAATGCAATGAGGAAGCTTGTGTAAAAAAAATAATAATTTCATATGTTTAAAGATGTGAATGACTGTTTGAGCAAATAAAAAAAATCTTGCACTTCACATCCCGATTGAACTATTGAAATTGATTGCCATGAAAACAGACCACAATCTCCTTGATACATACATATATATGTATACGTAATCAAGTATTTTGTAGAATGCGTTGTGAAATGGTGATAAAGTAATTTATAAAACGTATTTATTGTGTTTTATTCGTATTACAGAGAATGACATATCTTTGAAATGTTAATAATCTGTAAGTTTGAATATGCATGATTGTTATCTATGAAACAGCTTTGGTAATATCCTCTGAAATACAGTTTAAGCTTACCTTTAGACCAGTTTCTTTACTTATGCTGCTTAATTTTGGAAATCAAGTTATGTGCAGAACAGGAACGCTCCAAATGTAGTGACAACTGACCCATTGCAGGTTTGAAGACTAACCAATTAGTGTGTATCTTCTTAACCTGCAGGTTCAGCTTTCATGACTCTGCAATGGGAGCTGGTATCTCTACCTCGATGGGAGATGACGGCATACTGGTTTCTCTCCTTCTCCTCCCATCTCTATTCTTTCTACCAGTTGCGCAGGTTTTCTAAAGGTGAGCTGTCGTCTGCCCAGAACAAAATGCAATTCTCCAGTTTACCAAAAAAAAGGATCTCAGGAATCTTAGATCTCAGCAATGGTTCAGTGGCACAATATTTAATTATCAAAGGAAAATAGATTCAAATCCCAGACCTAATGTATAATTAAAAGAAAAAGCCAAACAAAATTGCAACAGAACAAGATCCATATTGCATAAGCATTAGACAACTACCACCCCACAAATTTGTCAGCTAGACATAAACAAAACATATGGATTGCTATTAAATGAATATACCTGTTGAATAATTTATTTAGATGAAATTATCCAAAATTAATATAAAATCATTTTTGCTGCATTTTTACGGCTTTTTTTTTTGTTTTACTTTATAATGTGTCCGTTTGAAAAGGGCTGCTGTGGTGTGTGTGTGGGGGGAGAAATGCTTGTTCCTGTCGTGTTAACTGCTGACTCTAAGGGTTCTGAAAAGGGTGTGCTGTCATTTTGAGGGACGATGGGATCTCAGGTCAGCAAAAGACACCACACAGCACCCATTTTATCTCTTTCAACAAAACATGTCAGTCAAAAAAGTGCAAAAATAAAGCTTCAAAATAGGGCGTCTCTTCATGCACAGAGAAAACAGTGCATAAATAATAACATGGGTGAAATTGCTGATACATTTAAACCTAAATATTTTAGCTATCAGACAAACGGCATTTTTAAAGAACACCATCTAGCTGACTTTGTTACATTGCCTCAGAGAAATCATTTTGAATAAAGTTGAACTGAATACTTAAGATTTTAAGCAAAACATTAACTTTATATGTTTGTGAATAATACATTTAAGAAAATCAGTCAGTCAGTGTTCTTAAACATTATTCACAGGTTCTACAAGGTTTATTTTTATCTTAAATATTGCATTTTGTGTCTTATAGCTTGGCTAGGTCCAACATTTGAAGACACTTTAAACACCACTAATCACATTGCCTTTGAAGTGAATCAATATACAAAATATGACTCCAGGTCAGTGTCACTTAAACGGGTCATATGATGCTACTAAAAAGAACATTATTTTGTGTTTTTGGTGTAATGAAATGTGTTTATGCAGTTTAAGGTTAAAAAAACACATTATTTTCCATATAATGTACATTGTTGTTGCTCCTCTATGCCCCGCCTTTCTGAAACGCGTCGATTTTTACAAAGCTCATCGGTCTGAAAAGCAAGGTGTGCTCTGATTGGCCAGCTATCCAGTGCGTTGTGATTGGCCGAATGCCTCAAGCGTGTGACGGAAATGTTACGCCCCTTACCATACTGTGATGCCGTGTCCTAGCCGGCGTGATGACACAAAACCAATAAAACCCATTACAAACGAGGCATTTGTTGCATCCAGTGGGGACATAATTACGGATTATAATGACTTATACTGTCTTTTTACACGTTGCGTTGCGTATCGCGCTGCGTAAACATAAAACCATGTCTGCATTTGTGATCGGAGAAACAACAAACAAGCCTACTCTACACTGCTCAAAACTCGCGTTTGAATCATCAGTGGCAAATTATTTAAATATAAAAAACGTTCTTACAGGCTGTGAGTCAGAAGCGCCAGACTGTCCTTGCAAAGTTGGAACTGCCCAACTTTATAGAAGCGTAAATAGAATTCCTCCATAAAATGCGCAGCACAAATCTGATATTTGGGTTGAACTGTTCTGGAACAGTGTTGTAAATACAACTTAACCACTGATTTCTTAGTTGTGTCCTCTTTTGGAAGGCCAAACAAAGTAGTTTCACTTTCACAACGAAACACACAGCGACTCCACAATATGGCAGCGGCGGAAACAGCAAGAATTAAAGTTACACCTTCTTTTTTTGCATGAACATTTGGGTGGCGTTATGCAAATCTTCCCACGTCGTGACGTAGACATGTGGGGGCGTGTTAGAACGAGCCGTTTTAGGTAGGCGTGGTTGACTCTTAACTTTTATAAAGAATATCTCTTTGGATTTGAGACTTTAGTCTTTGCAAGTTTACAGATCTTCTTTATGCACCAAGAGCTTGTAACACTCCAAAGAGAAAGGAAAAATTGAAATTGCATCATATGACCCCTTTAAGATCTATATCATAGCAAACATGCCCATGAGAAGACTTTTTGCAATCTATGTGTCCCCTGACAGTGCAACCAACAGATGGCACTGTGGTCTTACTTCTATTTCCATGTACACTTTCATCTCCAGAAAAATTGTGCGTGTTTATGATAGTGTGAATGGATCCATGCCTGCCAGTGCACCCTGCAGGAAAACCGTCTGTCGAGGTGATGAGAGGTCTGTCCTAAGAAACTGGATGAAGAAAGAGATGTAGGGAGAGCGGGATGGAGAGAGAGAGGGGTGGGGTGGAGAAAACAATACCAAACTGACACTGCATTGCAGGGGAGAAAGAAGAGAGTTAATGCATGTGTGCAGAGAATATGCAAGAGATCTTATCCTTCATCTAAAACTTCCAACTACAAGATCCAATTTTTTAGAATTTTTTTTCATCCGTTTTGCAACACGTGCCTCGAAGAGGATTTGAAGGGATGGTTCACCTAAAAATAAAAATGTTCTTTCAAACCTGTATGACTTAATTTCTTCTGTGGGGAAACCAAGGAGAGGTTTAGCAGAATGGTAGAGCTGTATTCACTCTGACTTTAAGAGGTCACTTTTATTGTAGTAACAACTTGGATGTTCTGCTAAACTTTCCCTTGAAAACAATACAAGTTTGGAATGACAAAACATTACTTTTTGGGTGAACTATCTCTTTATAAGAAGCTGTGCTTTGAAACTTTCACATCCTGTAGAATCCATATTTTAAGAGTGGAGAATGAAGTGGATGTTGAATAAATACAAACACAATTCTGAATCTAGTTAGCCAAAATAGTCCTGTGTGTGGACTTTGTATACCTCCTGAATAGTATGTGAGAAATGTGTTTCCTGTGTGTGATTGACAGAGCATGAGGTCAGCCTGGACAGAGAGGTGCAGCTGGAGAAAGGATACCTTATATGGGGATTCAAGAAGGTGAGAGAACACATGGTAATTATATTAGTGACTTTAATCAGGGTGACACATTTGGCTGATGCACCCCACCAAGCCCAATTTCCTGTTTCCCACTCAATCATCAAGTTCCTTTTATACAGACATGCAAAACAGACACACTTTATGTGTATATGCATTTGTATACATGTGTTTTATGTCTGTCTGTTTTAGGACCCTACAGATTTCGAGTGGAGTTTTTGGAATGAGTGGGCGTGGCAATCTCTTTTGTGGTCTTTGATTGGCCACGCTGTGCTGTCCAGATTGGCAGATAATTTTTTGCCTCGGGTAAATTTAATTCAGAACAAATGAACTCATCTAATGTTTGCATGTTTCATCATTTTTTCTTGTGCATTTGTGTTACAGTTCCGACTGGCAGTCATAACGGTGTATGGCTTCCTCTCAGCTGGTTGGCTTCTTGGAGTGCGGGGTGTGACTGTCTTGATGCTGCATCTGAGCATCTCATTGGTGGTTGCTCAGCTACGTAGCCCCAGCCTCTCATGGTTTTGCTCCCTCTTGCTGCTCTCCACACTCAATGTCACTGCCCTCCAGGATTTACAGGTGTGTGCTGTAAACCATGTATGTGAGGCACCAAATTTTCTCCTCCTCTAAAGCTGCTAAAAAGTGTCCAATTTAAAGGGTTTGTTGACCCAAAAATTAAAGACTGTCCTCATTTACTCACTTTCGTGTAGTTCCAAGTCGTTATGGCTTTTTTTCTCTCTTTCTTGGAACACAAAAGGAGGAATTTTAATGATGTGCTGGTTGCTTTTTTTCCATGAAACTATCAAGAACAATGGCTAGATCTTTCAAGCTTCAAAAAAGGATGCAAAACCACATAAAAGTCATAATAAATGACTTGTGTGCCATACTCAATATTCATGGGGGAAATAGCAATGCCTGATTTTAACAAATTTTTCTTTTAAATCAAAACTTTTCAGTCAGTTGCTTAATTTCAGGTTCTATTCAGTAGTGTTTGTGCGCCACACTCAGCGCTAGTTTTAAGTTTTAGCAATTTTGTTGTTACTAAAATACTAAAAACAATTTTTAGTAGTTTTCCGTTTTTAGTTAATAATTACAAAACAGGTTGATTTTTGGTTGGAAAAAACATTCTAAATGCTTCATGCACAAATCGAACTGAATCATTCAACTCACTTAAGTTAAAATCTCCATGGAGTTTAAGATTATTAGTAAATGACTTCAGTTTTGGTCTATTTCTCACACAAATCTGTTGTATGGCTTCAGACGACTTGAAATATAGAACATGAATCACATGCTGCAGTTTTATGTTGCTTTTGTGCCCTTTATTGAACATTTAAAACTTAAGTTCCCATTTGTTGTAACTGCATGTAAAAGAGTGACCAACACGGTCTTCAAAATTTCTCTTTTTGTGTTCCACAAAAAAGTAAGTCATACAGTTTTGGACCTTTATATCAATAAGTAAATGATTACATAATTATTGTATTTGGTCGAACTACCTGTATCTCTTTCAAGCTATCTGTATTGATGGGGTGAGGTGTGAGGGATTTGTCCGGTTCAGGATCAGGATCAGGAGTCTGTGCTGTCTCCAGGGCTCTCGGAGCACATCTGCAGAGCTCCGCAGAGAGAATGGAGATGAGACTGAAACAAGCCTGCATTAAATGTCACCATTCTCTTCACACAAACACAGTGGCGTACACTCTCAAACAGTCTCCCAAGCAAACATTCAAAGTCAAACATTTGCATGCACAACAGTGCTTGTGTATTTCCTTTTTCCTCACACAATAGATGTTATAACAGCACAACAAAAAGAGCCAGCTGGCTCCCAGAAGGTCTTGTTTTTTGTTTGTTTGTTTATCTGCTTAGTCACTTGACACAGTGAATGATAGATTGACAGCTGTCATTAGATATCTGACTGAAGGGGAAAGCAACGAGATCAACAAGCTCGTGCCGATGGAGAGGAGGAAAGAGACGGAGGGAATATCGATCTGAGTGACAAATGAGTTCCCTCTTTGCCTGGAGTTTCTCCTTGATTAATTATGACACGGGCCCAAAGCTTCCCCTCTTAATTAAACCTTCATTTAATTATTATTTATTACTCAGAAGCAGTCATTAACATACCCATCTGAGGAACAAACAACTGTAATTTAATCTATTGTGATCTTTATTCGCTTTTTAATGATCTCTTTTTTCAGTACATCTCTGTTTACCTCAGTTACTTATGAGCTGTGAAAAACCATCAGGAAGACAGCAATACCCATGTAGCCACCACAGAGATCGCCATAATGACATACAAAGAAAAAGCAGCATCAGCCAGCGACTAATTTCAGAACGCTGCCCTGTCATTTAGTGTAATTTAGAGCTGGTTATAGCTTTATTTTTGAGTGGCGATAATGAGTTTTTGAAAGTGGCTACTGCTGTGTCTCCTGGCTAGATGCCAGCTGTCATCTTCTGAGCATGCCCAGTAGATCATATTAGTTTAGTTTCGCCACAGAGGATCAGTGGATGCTGGTCTGAGGTGGAGTATTCTGGAAAGCTGTGGTTTACAGCGGTTGTTCATTCCTTACACAGTAGCTTTGTAAACATTAGTCGGTCTAATATTATGGAGATGTTATTGCCCTCTTTATGAAATACAAAGGTGACTAATTAGACACGTTTGGATGCTTAAGTTACACTTAAAATCTCAGAGTGACATTGTATTGTATACAATATATCAAACTAAGTTTTAACCGGTCCCAAGCTGGATCTTTTAAGCTTTATAAAGTATGCAAAACCACTGTAAAAGAATCATAAAACTGCCGTATGACTCGTTCATCATACTCCACATTAATGAGGGAATCAGCAATACCTGACTTGAATGAATTGTTCTTTTGAGTCAAATCTTTTTCAAATCTTTATAAGTTGATTCAAGTGATATTTTAGTATTGTTTATGTACTATTACAGTATTTATAAATATCTTAAATGAGCCCAACTAGGCTTCATTTTGAAGAATATGTGCATCGTTTTATAATTTCTAACAAGCTTGAAGAGTATGCCTATAATAGAGTGTAAAAAAATCCATGCAGCAGTTTTACAGGTGAAGTGTGTCCTTGCTGTCTCACTGATGGCATTTCCCACCAAAATTGGAAAAATAATGACTGTTTTGAAACATACAGAGCCCATAAAATAAGTTTTAATCCTGAATATAGTAAATAAATTTTTATTTGGGGGTTTTGGCAGGTAGTTATTGAGGGAACGGCATCTGAATACATCAGGCCACTCTTTCTTCCGTTTTTGTCATCAGGCTGCACAGTTGTCCTTTCTGCCTGTGATTTTCTTTTTCTATGAATTTTGTAGATTGGTGTCCTGCTTCACCAGTTCTGATAAGATTGATAAAGATTGATAAAAAGATTAATAATAAAATATTAATAATTATTAAATAAAAAAGAACAACAAAACAAGGTCTTCCTGCTGCTACCACAGAGGCATGTACACCCAATAGCACCAATTTACTAATTATACTTTTATTTCAGGGCCACTGATGTGTGGTTCCTGATTAGGTTGTTAATTTAATTGTTTTTTCCCTCTGTTTTTATTTGTCTCTAGCGTGGTTGGTACACTTCTGAAGACCAGTACTACCTCTTGCTCTTTAGTACAGCCGTTTGTAGCTTGCGCTGCATTAGCTTTAGTCTGGAGCTGTGCTGGCACCCCCTGCAGGCCGGAGGACCAAACCACTGCACCCATCTAGAGGAAAAAAGACTGAAGACTCTGATTTTTCAGTTCTACAAGCTCACTGCCTACTGTTTCTATCACCCCCTGTTTTACAATGGACCCATTGTGACCTACAGAGACTTCAGTGAACGGGTAGATGAAAATGAGATTCATAAAAGGCTGTAGGGTCTGGCTTTATCCAGATGTACTGTGAATGTCTTTCTCTGTCTCTGCAGATAGAGAGGCCGGTGTGTAAAGTCTCTGTGGTGTATGTGTTGAGTGGAATACTGCGTGTGTGTGTCTGGTGGTGTTTAGCCGAATTCATGATCCACTTCATGTACATGCACGCCATCCAGAGCAACGAAACCTACCTGGAGATGCTGCCGCCCTGGGCGCTGGGTAAGTTTGTGACTGCATATGAATTCATGGACTTTCATAGTATATATTGAATTTGATGAAGAATGTCATAACAGACTTTAGGGATGCAAGTGTGCATTTCCAGACATACTACATCTGCCATGTTGGCATTGTTCATTTGAAGTCTTTTTACGTATGATGTGCTAAATAAATACGATATGTGACCCTTGGTCCACAAAAGCAGTCTTAAGTCGCTGGGGTATATTTGTAGCAATAGCCAAAAAAACATTGTATGGGTCAAAATTATCGATTTTTCTTTTATGCCAAAAATCATTAGGATATTAAGTTAAGATCATGTTCCATGGAGATATTTTGTAAATTTCCTACTGTAAATATATCAGAACTTAATTTTTGATTGGCAATATGCATTGCTAAGGACAAGATTAAAGGCGATTTTCTCAATATTTTGATTTTTTTGCACCCTCAGATTCCAGATTTTCAAATAGTTGTATCTCGGCCAATTATTGTCCTATCATAACAAACCAACATCAATGTAAAGCTTATTTATTCAGCTTTCAGATGATATATAAATCTCAATTTTAAAAAATTGACCCTTATGACTGGTTTTGTGGTCCAGGGTCACATATGTTCAAAAGCTTGGGGTTGGTAAGATTTTTTTGTGATGTTTTGAAAGAAGTCTCTTAGGTTGTATTTATTTGATGAAAAATACAGTAGAAACTGCAATTGTGAAGTATTATTATAACTTAAAAATAACTGTTTCCTTTTTTAATATATTTTAAAATGCAATTTATTTCTGTGATGACAACGCTGAATTTTCAACAGCCATTACTACAGTCTGAAGTGTCACATGTTCCTTCAAAAAATATTCTAATATGCTTATTTAGTGCTTGAGAAAAAATTATAATTATTATCAGATCAGTGTAGAAAAAGTTGTACTGCTTAATATTTTTGTGGAAACTGATACATTTTTTCAGGATTTTTTGATGAATAGAAAGAACAGCGTTTATTTAAAATTAGTGCTGTCAAATCGATTAATCACATCCAAAATAAAAGTTTGTTTAAATAATATGTGTGTTATGTTTATATATATATATATATATATATATATATATATATATATATATATTTAATCGACTCGATAGAACTATTTACATATATGCATACATTAATATATTTTTTTTTTGTAGTATCTTTTTTTTTTATCTTTGGAGAATTAAAATATTGATTTCTTAAAAAAAATTTAACTTACTGACCTCAAAAGTTTAAACAGTAGAGTATCCCTTAGTAACAACTTTCTACTTGTAGTGCTTACACTCGAAAATAACAACCCTTTTCAAATCCAATGGCTCCTTCCCTCCCGCAGTCTTATAGGATAAGTGTCCAGAATTTCATGTAGTACATGATATGAGATCTGCTGTATCATGAGTTTTTCAACATCTTACTTTTTTGACATACTGCTGTTTGCATGCTGTGAAGCAGGGAAGTATGAATATTTGTACTCAGTGAGTAGTTTTTATCCAAATGATGTCTTTCAGAATGGATACAGTCTGTCATGGTATAACTGGTGTTATTTTGGGTGCTAACGTGTTTATTACATTATTATGTAGCGAATCAGCTCATGGGAAATATGAATAATTAACCATAACTAGTTATAATTAACTATTCATATTTTAGATCCACTGTAGATATTTAGCTGACCACTCAGGGTCAACCGTCTTGTCAACTCTAAGAACGTTAATTTCCTGGTTAAAGGAAATAACTTTCTTACTGTACAATTCTATAAGTTTGTAACGTAAATCTGCATGATTATTGACTCCGGTTATGAGTAAACAATGAACACGTCAAGTGTGATACAAGTAAGGTTTTATTAACTACACAAACACTTAAACTAGTCTAACATACTACATAAACACATTAAGCTGGTCTAACAGACACATACACACACACACACATACAGTTGGTATAGGAAAGGGTTAAAGTTTAGCACTAAAGAAAGAGACATAAGGAATGACATTTATGGATTTATGGAGCATATTCAGCAGATCTAAAACCTGAGGGAAAACAGTTTTTATCCAAATGATGTCTTTCAGAATGGATACAGTCTGTCATGGTATAACTTATATATTGTGTGTTGGAGTGTTCCAGACGCTACAATTATCTTGCACAGATGTTCACAACGAAAACCCACACACTCTCACAGTTTCAGCCGTGTGCAGCATCTTAACTTCCACACTTACTGTCTATTGATTTGTAGAAGCTGCTGATTTGTGCTGCCTTTGATTCAAAAACACAGACTCTGCAAGAGAGAGCGGTGTAGAGAGGGTCTATACAGCAAGAACATCAAGTCATTATCGCCACTTTGTACCTGTTTTGTACAGAAAGGGCTTGCAGAAATTCTGTCCTATTTTTTTTTACAGGCTTTTAGCTCTGTACCAGTGGGATATGGGAAAGACAGATGCTGTTCTCAGTTTTCACTGACACAGAAAGAGAGAAGCGAAGAGGGAGAGATGACTAGAGAGGATGAGAATGATCGAACTAAATTATGAAACCGTTCGGAATAAAACTGAAATCTGATATAAATCATCAAATCTGTGGTTCTTCTCAGCCAGAATGGGATGAAGGGACGAAATGAGCTTCACATACACTGCATGGCCAAAACTGTGGCACCTGATGTGGCCAAACAGCTCTGTCATTTCAGATGTTTAAAGGGCAAATGTCTATGTGAGATCAAACACTTGGTCATCTGACCACTCTCTCTTTTTCACCTGCAGGTGGTTTGGCTCTTGCGTTGGTCCAGTTTTTTTACATAAAGTATCTAGTCTTGTTTGGAGCGGTGTCTCTGCTTGTCAGACTGGATGGACTGGAGCCGCCAAAGTTACCACGCTGTGTCAGCATCGTGTACAGCTTCACTGGGATGTGGAGGTAAATAAGCACACACTTCTTCATAGAGCTGGACTGGAATGATTTTGAAGCGATTCAGTCATCTCCTGCAGTATATCTGTGTACCAGCAGGGTGCAGAGCTGCACTGCATTCACTATAATTGATTTAAGCCATGAAACGATTGGCACAATGGTATAAGACTCACTTACACCCATCTACAAGCACATTACAGCAGCATAACAAGATCCATGCTTTGTTTAATGTCACAAACATCTTGCCTCAAACGTATGGAATTGAGTGTTCGACTTCTCTGATGGAGTTTAGCGCTCTGATGTCTCATGAGATGATGTAGAACAGGCTCATACACGCAGGCTTCCTCCTAGACGATTGGATTTTACACTAAAGCTTGAAAGCTTGTTGAAGATATGCAGCATTTCAACTTCAGTAGTCTGAAATGGTCTCCTTGACAACCAACACCAATCTGGAAACAGAAGTGTTTTAGATTTTCTGATATTTTTTGTCTGTTTTTTCATCACACTCTTTAAACTTGGTAAAATACATGCACTACTACTGATTTATTGCCTTACTTTAATAAATCCATAGTGTCATGTGCAAAAGACTCAACTCTAGTTAAATAATAATAATAATTACTGAAATACTGTTCAAATGTTTGGGGTCAATAAGGTTTTTTATTGTTGAATGCTGCACCAAGGCTGCATTTATTTGTTCAAAAATACAGTAAAAACATTTAATATTGTGAAACATTACTATGATTTAAAATAACTGTTTTCTGTTCGAATATATATTTAAAAAAAAAAAATTATCCTTGTGATGGCGAAGCTGAATTTTCAGCAGTCATTACTCCAGTCTTCAGTTTCACATGATCCTTCAGAAATCATTTTAATATGCTGATTTGCTGCTCAAAAACATTTTTTATGGAAACCATGATACTTTTTGCGGTGTACTTTTGATAATTTTAATGCATCCTTGTGGAATAATATAATTAATTTCTTTTAAAAAAGAATTTTACTGACCCCAAACTTTTGATTGTTAGATTGTTTAAAGGGGTCATATGATGCTGCTAAAAAGAACATTATTTTGTGTATTTGGTGTAATGAAATGTGTTTATGCAGTTTAAGGTTTAAACATTATTTTCCACATACTGTACATTATTGTTTCTCCTCTATGCCCCGAGTTTCTGAAACGTGTCGATTTTTACAAAGCTCATCGGTCTGAAAAGCGAGGTGTGCTCTGATTGGCCAGCTATCCAGTGCATTGTGATTGGCGGAATAATATAATTAATTTCTTTAAAAAAAGAATTTTACTGACCCCAAACTTTTGATTGTTAGATTGTTTAAAGGGGTCATATGACGTTGCTAAAAAGAACATTATTTTGTGTATTTGGTGTAATGAAATGTGTTTATGCAGTTTAAGGTTTAAACATTATTTTCCACATACTGTACATTATTGTTTCTCCTCTATGCCCCGAGTTTCTGAAACGTGTCGATTTTTACAAAGCTCATCGGTCTGAAAAGCGAGGTGTGCTCTGATTGGCCAGCTATCCAGTGCATTGTGATTGGCCGAATACCTCAAGCATGTGACGGAAATGTTACGCCCCTTACCATACTGTGATGCCGTGTCCCGAAGCGACGAGACAAAAACATGAAAACCCATTATAAACAAGGCATTTGTTGCATCCAGTGGGGACATAATTATGGATTATAATGACTTATAATGTCTTTTTATGCATTGCGTTGCATCTTGCCGCGTAAACATAAAACCATGTCTGCATTTGTGATCAGAGAAATGACAAAAAACAAGTGCTACTCTACACTGCCCAAAAAACTCATGTTTGAATCATCAGTGGCAAATTCCTTAAATATAAAAAACGTTCTTACAGTCTGTGACTCAGAACAGCCGGCATTGTAGTCTACTCTACCAGGATCAGGAAACAGTCCTCCATAAAATGCGCTGGACACATCTGAATATTTGGGTTGAAGTGTTCTGGAACAGTGTTGTAAATACAACTTAACCACTGATTTCTAGTCGTGTCCTCTTTTGGAAGGCCAAACAAAGTAGTTTCGCTTTCACAACGAAACACATCGTCACACGCGGCGGCGGCGGCTAGAGTGAGGAACTGCCGGCGGGCTGAATGAGAGGAGGCCGGTGAGCTTGAGAACGGGTTAACCCATCGTCATGCAGAATGAGTGACACTATCTTCTGTTTCCTGTGTGACCGTGCATGTAGATCTGCGCTGCAGACAGCTGCTGAAGCTCTGAGAGCCGGAAAGTTTAAGCACCAGTGTGTGTGTCTGATTGGTGTTGAAGGTGATGGAGTTTAGAGTGTGATAAATGAGAGCTGTAAGGAAACAGACGTATGCCGGAGACTTTAGCAGGACCTGCTGTAAGACCCCGTCTGACTTCAATCCCACACAGAGAGACAGAGCTCAGCCCCTCTGGACCCGATGAAGCACAAACACACTCAGCATAGCCTCAACACACTCACACACACACTGATATACTTCGAAACCCCGCTCACATGCTCATCTCTGTGTTTAATGGCTCAGAACTGCCGGATGCAACATACCAGGTGGAGACAGTACCCCATACTGCAGGACAGCAAAGTCTCTGATTACAGTGCAAATGTCCTGCAGGGAGCGAATGAGATTGAGAACAACAGAGAGAGAGAGAGAG